AAAAAAAAAACCTAACCTAACCAAAGCAAAATAAAAAAAAAAGGGGTGGGGGGTATGAATAACACAGGGATTAGAAAGAAATTGGGCTACCTGTGACTTTCACCTGATTTTAAAAAAGTATCCAAAAATTTAACCAGGGCCCTCAAGTGGCCAAAAGATGGTACTACAATGCCTAACTTACCTTTTTTTCCCTTCCTTCCTTCCTTCCTTCCTTCCTTCCTTCCTTCCTTCCTTCCTTCCTTCCTTCCTTCGCTCCCTCCCTCCCTCTTTCCTTCCCTCCCTTTTTCTTTTGTTGGTCATGGAACTTAAACTCAGGGATTGGAAGCTGTCCCTGAGCTCTCTCCCTCAAGGCTAACAGTCTACCACTGTGAGCCACAGCACCACTTCCAGGTTTGTGGTGGTTAATTAGAGATTAAGTCTCATGGACTCTCCTGCCACAGCTGGCTTTGAACCACAATCCTCAGATATCAGCCTCCTGAATAGTTAGGATTATAGCTGTAAGTCACCAGTGCCTGGCTGCAATGCCTAATTTATTTTTTATTTATTTTTTTTGGGGGGGTCGGTTGTGGAGCCTGAACTTCGGGCCTGGGTGCTGTCCCTCGGGTCTTCAGTTCAAGGCTAGTGCTCTACCACTTGAGCCACAGCACCACTTCTGGCTTTTTCTGCTTATGTGGTGCTGAGGAATCGAACCCAGGGCATGCAAGGCAAGCACTCTACCACTGAGCCACCTTCCCAGCCCCGCAGTGCCTAATTTCTAAGGCAAAGAATAGCACTTGAGTTTCAGTGTTAGGAGAGAATAAGAATAATAACAACAACAACAAAAAAGAACCATCCTCTTGTTTTAACATCTTGCTGGAAATTTTTCTAAAGATCTTACTACATTTAAATGACTAATCATGTAAGAAGAGTTAACTTTTATGCCTATTGAGCAGTAAAACAGGCAACTTTTGCCAGGCTCATACTTATAATCTCAGGACTCTGAAATCTGAGGATCTTGTTTTCTGATCCAACAAAGGGAGACAAATCTATGAGACTTTATCTCCAATTAACCATCAAAGAGCTACAACTGGAGGCATAACTCAAATGGTAGAGATCTAGCCCTGAGGGAAAAAATCCCCTAAGAGCAAGCTCTAACACACACGCACACACACACGCGCGCGCGCGCGCGCACACACACACACACACACACACACACACACACACACACACACACACACGGGCGGGTATGAATAACACAGGGATTAGAAAGAAATTGGGCTACCTGTGACTTTCACCATTTTTTCCTCCCATCCCCATCAACAAGTTGTATAGTTCATTTTCAACAAGTGTCTAGTAAGTACCAACTATTACTGCATTTGTTCACCCAAAATAGTACATTCTAATCAAGTGTATACTTCAAAGTTTCTACGCCTTAAATGTCAGTCTCAAAATTACAGAAGCCAAAAAAAAAAACTTCATACTTACCCACACACATTTTGACGTCATTCACAGTGAAGTCTGGATCAGGCATCCTATAAAACAAATACCAGTAAAACTAAATGGAAAGCACAACTTGTCTAGTTATTTTTTTTTCTTATAGTACTGAGAACTTCCTAATTAGACACATCAATATTCACATTTAGTTTTTAAATTACTTTTTTTGGGGGGGGTGATTGAACTCAAGGCCTGGGAACTGTCCCTTAGATTTTTATCTCAAAACTGAAGCTCTTATCACTTATGTCACTTATCTCCATCTTTTTTTTTGCTAATTAAGTGAAGATTCTTCCCAGGCTGGCTTCAAACTGTGATCTTGAGATCTCAACCTCCAGAGTAGCTAGAATTACAGGCAAAAGCCACTAGTGGCCAGCTAAAATTTCTTCTTAAATACAAGAGAATATATATTTATCAGTATACTTAGGGGGAAAAAATTGTTAACTCAAAAGTTTCTGTAAAATGTTAACATGATGAATGAGAATCAAAAATGAAAAAAAAAATAAAAACAAAAGCCAGGCATGGTAGCTCACACTCTTAATCCTAGCTACTTAGGAGGCTGAGATCTGAGGATCATAATTCAAAGGCACCCAGGCAGGAAAGTCTGTGAGACTCTTCTCTCCAATAAACCACTCAGAGAACCAGAAGTAGCACTGTGGTGCAAGTGATAGGGCGCTAGCTTTGAGCTGAAGAGCTGAGGGACAGTGTCCAGGCCCAGAGTTCAAGCCCCATGACCAACCAACAAAACAAAACAAAAAAACAGATTAACTCATCTGGATGCTGTACCAGAGTCTTTTGTATACTCAAGGCTAACATACTATCACTTGAACTACAGCTCTACTTCCAGTTTTTTGTAGTTAATAGGAGATAAGAGTCTCATAGACTTTCCTTTCCCAGGATGGCTTCAAACCACAATCCTCAGATCTCAGTCTCCTAAGTAGCTAGGATTATAGCTTTGATGCACTCACACCCAGTTTGGTTCACTGCTTATTAATACAACAAAATACTCAAAAATATATGAGCTTGGCTGGGAATGTGACTTAGTGGTAGAGTGCTTGCCTTGCCCTGAGTTCAAGCGCCAGGACTGGCAAAAAAAAAAAGAGATAGAGAGAGAGAGAGAGACAGACAGACAGAGAGAGAGAGAGAGAGAGAGAGAAATATGAGCCTATTTCATACAGGAAGCAATCTAGAAAAATACTTTAAAAAGTATCTGGGATTTCAATATCAAATCAGGCACACAACACTTACTTTATTCCAAGTCCATCAGAATTCTTGAAAATCAGAGGATCTCTTAAGCCTCCTCGTTGTATATATTCAACATTAAAATCTGTCAACATAAAAATCAATTATTACAAAGACTGGAGATATCTCTGGAAAAAATAAAAAGACCATAAAAAACATCTAAGTAATAAGAGTATAGACATCTGGTATTCTGTATATATGATTGTGTTTTGTTAGATGCTAATGTATGCTTCTTCACTAAGAAGCTTCTAAGAAAGAGGGAGAGCAAACTGAGAAACAGAGCTTGAGAGTTTAAGACTTAAGCAACAGAGGGAAGCAAAAAATTAATTCTGACCCTAAATTACATATATCGGGCCGGGAAAGTGGCTTAGTGGTAGAGTGCTTGCCTACCATGCATGAAGCCTAGGTTCTATTCCTCATTACCACATAAACAGAAAAAGTCAGAAGTGGTACTGTGGCTCAAGTGGTAGAGTGCTAGCCTTAAGCAAAAGAAGTACAGGGACAGTGTCAGGCCCTGAGTTCAAGCCCAGGACTGGCAATAAATAAATAAATAAAAATATACATATCATCTTTGCTAATTAGCTAAGGATCAAAACTTCATGATACATGAGCAATTCCACCTATATTTTAATAGGTGTATATGAATAAAATTTAGAGTCTTATGTAATTTGAAGGGGATATGTGGTACTGAGGTTAGAATTCAAGGGCCTCCTGCTTGCTAGACAGACAAAATGTCACTTGAGCTATTCCATCAGCCCTTTTGCAGCGGTTATTTTCTTCTACTGTTTCTTTTTTTTTTTTTTGGTCAGTCGTGGGGCTTGAACTCTGGGCCTGGGCGCTGTCCCTGTACTCCTTTTGTTTAAGGCTAGCACGCTACCACTTGAGCCACAGCGCCACTTCCGGTTTTCTGGTGGCTAATTGGAGATAAGAGTCTCATGAACTTTCCTGGCTTTGAACTGTGATCCTCAGATCTCAACCTCCTGAGTAGTTGAATTATGGGTATGAGCCACTGGCGCCTGGTGCACTGGTTGTTTTCAAGTTAGGGTCCTGCTTTATTGCTCAGGATCCTTTATTGCTGGGGATTCTTCCTGATGCTGCTGTCCAGCCATTGTGTTTCTGTAGCTGGGATAACAGGTACATACTACTATGCCTAGCTACTTGCTGAGACAAGTCTTTTGAACCTCTCTTTGCCCAACCTGACTTCAAACCCCTTATCTAGCTATACCTAGAAAGTGGTTAGGATTACAGGCCTGGGTCATTGCACCAGGCTTACATTGTTTTTTTTTGTTTGTTTTGGTCGGTCATGGGGCTTGAACTCTGGGCCTGGGCGCTGTCCCTCAGCTCTTCAGCTCAAGGCGAGTGCTCTACCACTTGAGCTACAGCGCCACTTCCGGTTTTCTGGTGGTTTATTGGAGATAGGAGTCTCACGGTCTCTCCTGCCCGGGCTGGCTTTGAACCGCGATCCTCAGATCTCAGCCTCCTGAGTAGCTAGGATTACAGGCGTGAGCCACCAGCGCCCGGCTACATTGGTTATTTTCTTGAACTAGGGTTTTGCCTTATGCCTGGGCCTTGCTCCTTCTGTTTGTGCTTCCCTGTGTAACTGGGAAGATATGAGTATTACATTAATCATTGGTTAAGATGCAATCTCATCAACTTTTTGGTCTTGAACTGTGATTTCCCCTATTTATACTTCCGAAGAGTTAGGAGTTATAGGCTTTATCCACCAATGTCCAACCTTGCACATTTTTTGGGGGGTATGGGGGGGTAATCAGGGTTTGAACTCAAGAGTCTTATTTGTCTTGCTTGTTCAGCTGGCACTCTACCACCTGAGCCATGCTTCCAGCCTGACTTCGTGCTGGTTATTCTGGAAATGGTGTCTAACTTTGCCTGGGCTGGGAGCAAATCTCAATCCTCTGGATTTCAGCCTCCTGAATAGCTAGAATTATAGACCTGCACAACTGGCACACAGCCTACTGAACTATTTTTTGTTTGGTTTGGTTGTGAGGCTTAAACTAAGGATCTGGGCATTGTCCCTGACTCTCTTTGTGCTCAAGGCTAGCATTCTACCACATGAGCCACCACTTGAGCCACAGTACCACTTCTGGTTTTCTGGTGGTTAACTGTTGATAAGAGTCTAACAGCCGGGCACATGTGGCTCATGCCTGTAATCCTAGCTACTCAGGAGGCTGAGATCTGAGGATTGCGGTTCAAAGCCAGCCCGGGCAGGAAAGTTCATGAGACTCTTATCTCCAATAAACTGCTAGAAAACCGGAAATGGTGCTGTGGCTCAAGCAGTAGAGCTCTTGCCTTGAGCTGAAGAGCACAAGGACAGTGCCCAAGCCCAGAGTTCAAGCCCCACGACCAACCAAAAAAAAAAAAAGAGTCTAACAGACTTTCCTGCCATGGCTGGCTTTGAGCTGCTATTCTCATATCTCAGCCTCCTGAATAGCTAGGAATACAGGTGTAAGCCACTAGCACCTGACCTACTGTACTATTATTTATTTATTTATTATTTAAATTTTTTTTTGTTGGTCATGGGGCTTGAACTCTGGGCCTGGGTGCTATCCCTTAGCTCTTCAGCTCAAGCCTAGCATTCTACCACTTGAGCCACAGCACTTCTGGTTTGCTGGTGGTTTATTAGCCATAAGAGTTTCATGGGACTTTCCTGCCTGGGCTGGCTTTGAACCACAGTCCTCAGATCTCACCGACCTGAGTAGCAAGGATTACAAGCATTGGTCATCAGTGCCCGGCTACTGTACTATTTTTAATTAAAAAGAAACCAAGGGATGAAAGAAGGAAAAGGCCTTAGGAGAAAACTCCCAACAACATTCCTACCCTAATAAAATGCTACAGGGCTGGGAAGATGGCTCAGTGATAGAGTCCTTGCCTTGCATGCATGAGGCCCTGGGTTCAATTCCTCAGCACCACATAAACAGAAAAAGCTGGAAGTGGCACTGTGGCTCAATTGGTGGACTGCTAGCCTTGAGGTGAAGAACTAAGGGACAGCACCCAGGCCTAGAGTTCAAGCCTCACAACCGACCGGAAGAAAAAAAAAAGATACTACAAATAGAGAACGAGGCAAAGGTAGGAGAATGAGAGAATCATGTATAAGTGGCTTTCTGTAACAAAAGGAAATAAATGGTATCAACAGGAAGTTTAGCTGCACAGATGCTAAACCCACAGTTCTGAATGTACAACTCTTATATTAAGGGGCAGGAGGGATGAACCAAATTCATACTGACCTTTTCCCTCCATAAAAGTAACAAAATTAGCATTATATTTGTTGGTGTGGAGTTTCTCTTCTAAGTCAAAGGTTCTTTTTCCTTCAATTTCATCATCTGAAATGCCATCATCTTCATATCGTCGTCGCATGGTGCCACGCTGAGAAAAAAGGAACATCAAAATGAAATGGTGTAGTTTCACGCTTCTTTAACAAGAAGTCAGTGTTCTCTACACGTATAGAGTGCTTCTTTCAATCCCAGATGCCATGTGAAACATTAATTTTCCTTGTCCTATGGATCTTTTGTTTTTCTCAATTCAAGACCAACTGATGTCTCAAAAGCATTGGTATAACGAAGTTTTAATGAGCCACTGTTTTTCCTACCTATGAATTTTACCCTTTGCCAGTAACTCTATCCTAGAGATATACATTCATAATGAAAGCATAATCAAATAGGATCTATAATGTTTTGTCAAAGGATGATAAACTGTCTTAATCAATATTTAAGTGAAGATACAAAATATAATTGTTCCTGGAAAAAAACAGTTCAAAGCCAGCCAGGGCGGGAAACGTCCATGAAATTCTTATGTCCAATTAACCACCAGCAAACCAGAAGTGGTGTGGCTCAAGTGGTAGAGCGCTAGCCTTGAGCTGAAGAGCTGAGGGACAGCACCCAGGCCCAGAGTGAGTTCAAGCTCCAGGACTGACCAAAAAAAAAAATAATAATAATAATAATTGATATGGCTGCGATTGAAATCTACTCAAAGTTGTTTCTTTAATGTGCTACTTTTGTTTATTATTCTACCATTCCTTATTTCTGTATCTAGTAGCTTCTACTTGACAAATTCCTTTGCTGATCACTCAGCTACTGTGGCTGAAAAAACATTGCCATTCCTGACCAGAGACTTTTTTATATACTGAAATGTTTGAAAATCAGATATATGAAAATATTGTACTTTATATTTGTATTCAGTGACATTCATATAATACCTCTAAAATAATTGTATCATTAATAGTATTTTTTTTTTGGTCAGTTGTGGGGCTTGAACTCTGGGCCTAGGCGCTCTCCCTCAGCAATTCAGCTCAAGGCAAGCGCGCTACCACTTGAGCCACAGCACCACTTCAAATTTGCTGGGTAATTGGAGATAAGAGTGTCATCGACTTTCCTGCCCAGGCTGGCTTCAAACCACGATCCTCAGATCTCAGCCTCCTGAATAACTAGGATTATAGGTGTTGAATTACTAGTGCCCAACTAGCATTTTCTTATAACCAAGATGTTTTCTCTGTCTATATTCTGTTAGGAATTAAAGATTCTGCTCTAATTCCACTTCCAGAAAACAGAGTTTTAGAGTAACTTGCTGGTGATGATATAAGAAATCAAGTAACAGCTGGGTGCTGATGGCTCAAACATGTAATCCTAGCTACTCAGGAGGTTGAGATCTGAGGATCGTGGTTCAAAGCCAGCCTGGGCAGGAAACTCTGTGAGACTCTTTTTTGTTCCCCCCCCCAGAGCTGAGGACCGAACCCAGGGCCTTGCGCTCGCCAGGTGGGCGCCCTTCTGCTGAGCTAAACTCCTAGCCCCAAAAACGTGAAGTTTTTTTTGTCGGTCGTGGGGCTTGAACTCTGGGCTTGGGTGCAGCTCAAGGTGAGTGCTCTACCACTTGAGCTACAACGCCACTTCCTCCGTGAGACTCTTATCTCCAATAAACTACTAGAAAACCGGAAGTGGAGCTGTGGCTCAAGTGGTAGAGTGCTTGCCTTGAGCTAAAGGGTGGAGAGACAGCACCCAAGCCCAGAGAGTTCAAGTCCCATGACCAACAAAGAAAGAAAGAAAGAAAGAAAGAAAGAAAGAAAGAAAGAAATCAAGTAACCATGGTAGCTTCATGTCTCACACTGTGAAAAAACTTTTCAAAATCCTCACAGCACAGCCTTAATGTGTACTTCTACACTTTTTTTTTTCCTTACACTGTCACACAAGTCTTGCTGAATATGGAATGTCAGATACTTGACATACAGAAATAAACAGGCATAGATCTCAGCGCTTAAGGAGACTTTTGGCTAACAGGGGGAGAAAACATGCAAATAAACTATTGTTCTTTATTGACAAAGGGCTCCATATAAGGAAAGGCTCCACATAAAAAAAGATGTTTATTCACTGATTATAACTACTGGACATCTATGAAGTCCCTAGAGCTATGTGTATAATATACTCTTTTGTTCTTCTGTCAAGTGAAGCAAAATACTTCTTTGGGGTTTCTCTTTACTTACTGGATTTCTCACTACTTTCTCATTAATAATATATATTTTAGCCCTTCCCCCTAAAAAAGGTTATGAAGCCATTAAAAATTTAATCATTTATTAGTACAAGCACAGTGAAAATCATGGCTTTACAGTGCTGAACCTTGGGCCCAGATTTTTACCATTTTATCTAAATAAGAGACTTGAGCACAGGGAAAAAATGTTAACATAATTTAACATAATTGCTTTATTACAAAAAAGATGAACTTGCATAGAGGTCAGCAGTACATAGGATGTGTTCCACATATAAAAAAACATTAGCAGATAACACCAAGTCCAACAACATAACATAAAAGCATCACCTATACATACCTATATATTTTGGCAATAGGCTTATATATACCCGTTTCTTCTGAACAGACACAGGGAGGGAAGGAGGGTAATAAAGCAGAATGTTCAAGGGAAGAGGAATATAGATAAAATGAAACTTTAACCTAAAAGACTTAGGTGGTAAGATAAAGATGTTCAAGGTCAGCCTGGGCTATGTAGCAAAAAAACTTGATCTCAAAAGAAAACATAAAACACTTATTCATCTTTTTTCATGTGTCCTGGTGTAAGGGCTTGAAGCCAGGGTCTGGTGTCTGAAAGCCACCATTCCAGAAGACCACAGGGACAGAGTCACATATAGCAAAGGGGTTTGTTGTCAGACAGGGCTGACAAGGCCACCTCCCTCATGGGAGAGAAATGGTGCCTGTCCTTGTTCAGAGGCATCCTTATACAGTCATGGGATTAGAGGGGGGAGGTATCCGCATGTGCACCTGGTCCCTGAAGATAGCACCATAGGCAGGACAGAATTTAGGTCTGGGTGGAGAGCAGGAATGAGAGCAGGGAATACAGACTAAATCCTGGAGAAACTGGTAGGAGTCCCAGGGATTGTCTTTTCTTTGTGAAGGGCAGGGTTGAATTCAGTTCTAGGCGGAAGAAGTTCTGCTGATAAAGTTGACGGCTAGAAATACATGCTCAGGGCCTAGGATACTGTAAGCCCCAAATGGAAGAGGACATACTAACAGTGCTCTTGCTCCACCCTGCTGTGTCTTTGCTGGTGCTCTATCACTTGAGCCATTCCTCTACTTTTAGATTTTTGCTGGTTAATTGGAAACAAGTGTGTCAGATTTGTGTGCCTAGGCTGGCTTCAAACCTTGATTTTGGGATTTCAGCCTCCTTTAGTAGCTTGGATTATAGGCATGTAACACTGGCACCTACTGTTATAAACCTAGCTACTCAAAAGGCTGAGATCTGAGGATTGAAGCTGGGGGGAAAAAAGAGATGTCTCACTATAACCTAAGCTAGCTTTAACCTTCCCAATGCTGCGATTATAGGGGTTTTGTTTGTTTGGGGGGTGAGGGGGGTCGGTCATGGGGCTTGAACTCAAAACTGAGGCATTGCTGTCCCAGAGCTCTTTGTGCTTAAGGCTAGTGCTCTACCACTTGGAGCCACACTCCACTTCCAGTTTTTGAGTGGTTAATTAAAAGTCCCAAGGGGACTTTTCAGGCCAGGCTGGCTTCAAAACAAAATCCTCAAATCTCAGCCTCCGGAGTACCTAGGATTACAGGCATGAGCCTAAAGAGATTTTAAAAGGCCCAAACACTGAGAAATAATTATGTAGTTATACCTACACCAAACAATGGAAACAGTAACATCTCAGAAATTTTGTTCTTTTTTCAAGTCAAACAATTTTTCATTTGCATTAGCCAATGAAATATCCAGAGATTCAAACACTCCTGAATATGTTTGTACTGACTGATTCCTATAGCACACTTCCAACACAGAAACAAAATAGTACTCAGAGTTATTTATTTAGTGCTGGTCCTGAGGCTTGAACTCAAAGCCTGAGCTATTTTATGCTCAAGGCTAGAAGTGCTCTATCACATGAACCATAGCTCCATTTCTGGCTTTTTGTGATTAACTGGAGATAAATGTCTCAGGAACTTTACTGCCTGAGCTGGCTTTGAACCTTGATCCTTAGATCTTTGCCTCCTGAGTAGCTAAGATTATTGGTATGAGCAAGCAACCAGTGGGATTCCCCTCCCCACAATGTTTTTTAGTACTTTTTCTAGGATACATAATGCAGGATTGGCATTACTGTTACACAAGAAGAACTTATAGAAAAAGAAAGCTGAAAACAGGTATGGATGGCTCAATGGTAAAGTAAACATGAGGCCCTGACTTCAAATCTCAGCACCACCAAAAAAAGAAGACGACAAAAAAAAAAAAGCCAAAAAGCCTGAAATTTATCTGAAAGCTAAACCTAGCTGCCCAGAGGCTAAGATCTGAGAATTGAGATTCAAAGCTAACCTGGGAAGTGGCGCTGTAGCTCAAGTGGTAGAGCGCTTGCCTTGAGTTGAAGAGCTGAGGGACAACGCCCAGGCCCAGAGTTCAAGCCCCACGACCGACAAAAAAAAAAAAAAACAAAGCTAACCTGGGCAGATAAATCCTCAAGACTCTTATCTCTAATTTACTAGAAAAAAGCCAGAACTAAAGATAGGGTACATTTGATTAGAGTATCAGTGTGAATGAAAAAAACAAGTGAGCAGCACTGGGCCCCGAGTTCAAGCCCTAGTACCAACACACACACACACACACACACACACACACACACACACACACACACCAGTGTGAATGAAAAAAACAAGTGAGCAGCACTGGGCCCTGAGTTCAAGCCCTAGTATCAGCTAACACACACACACACACACACACACACACACACACACACACAATCAGTATGAATGAAAAAAAAACAAGTGAACAGCACTGGGCCCTGTCAAGCTCTAGTATCAGCTAACACACACACACACACACACACTGTCAAGCTCTAGTATCAGCACACACATGCACACACACACACACAGAATGAATAAGGGTA